TTATAAAAATAATTGAAATTTGCCACCACCTCAAGATTATTAGCAGACTTTGCTTTCCAATGGGATAAAAACCACATTCTCTGACAAAGTTGTTATTGGGTATGTTTGATAGGTAGTACATTGTGTGTACCACAGCCCCTCAAAGAGTTAAAACGGAGATTTTTCTAGATCTGGAATTATCTATGGATCGTTAGATTAATTGCTGCTCTATCAACGTCTTGTCCGAGTAAACGTAGTGGTGAACTGACCGCTATGACCTTTGTCACATATAAAGCAATATCCGGTACAGTTCCATCCGGATGCGTGGTCAAATCCATCAAGATACTTTGCAGTTTCGTGGAAAACTTCTGTTTCTGCTTACCGTTCCAATTGCTCACAGTATCCTTAAGAAGAGACAATTTCTCGTACTGACATAAACACAATACATTGGATATCCCATATAATTTCATCAATATTGCATTTTAATATAAAATAATTTCATTGCGAGGATTCAATAATGAAATACAATTAAAAAAGTTATCGTCTAAATCGAAATTCAGACAGAATCGCAGGCATAATTCGAAATGTCACACTTTTCCAGGACCAATAATAGATCCGAAATACATGTTGCAATTAACTCTAAAAGAGTATTCACAGCAAAAAATAAATTAGCAAAAACCATATAATCATGAAAAAAACACTTACTAAATGCTTCATCTTCGGAACTAATAGTTATCAGAACATCAATATCAGAAACAATGATTGACTAAAAATATGCTTATTTACAATAGTTTTTTCTTCTGATTTACTGAGTTCACCAATCATATCTACATTTAAATAATGAAATAATATTTTTATAAAATTACTTACTAGACATTTTATTAAAAGAAATATTCAAAAATAATACATATAAATTAAAAGAAGTGACAAGCCAATGGAACAATCACAATAAATGTGCGAGATGTGGATTTATTGATTTTGTATGTTATTCAAAGTAACAGCCAGAAAGTAAATAAGTAAATAAAAAAATTGTTTTCAAATATATACAAAATTTCAAAGTGATCGATAAAATTCCTCGGTTTTTACATAATTCGATAGATACAATTAAGTAATATAAATATGCAGATTAACGTGAATTAACAGGCTTTATTTTCCAATGGGATCAGAACCTCATTGTTCGACAAAGATGATTTTATCACCTTCAGAAAGTCACAAAACAATTAGATTTCCGAAAATAGCAATTAAAGAAAAACAAAGTAAATCTTGATTCAAATAATTGAATTTACCACACCAAGATAATTAGCCAAATGGGATCAAAAACACTATATCCGACAAAGTTGCTCAGCTATTTCATAAAAACCAAACCATTTAAAACAAAACGAAAAAATGTAAATTTCTGGTGATTAAGGTCGGTCAATTACCAGAATGATATCAAAACAACATTCCGATTATTAAAAAAAAAACGTTGTTGCAATAAGATAAAAAATAATTAATCTATCCAATCAGATTCTCCCACAAAAACATTTTCATACAAATAATTGAATTAACAATCTCAATATTTTTAGCAGACTGTTTTGCCAATAAGATTTTAACAAACTCCGGTAAAGTTATTTCATAAAAAATCAATTCATTTCCAAAAAAAGAAATTGAAAATTGCTGTTAATTACTCAGTTTATTAATTGAAAAATGCAATTAGTTATCTGGCGAGATTATAAAACTCGTTGTAACTTCATTAGAATTTCTGGTTTGGTTACAAGATTGTAGGTAATGGCGTATGTTGGCGTTCATACAAGTTGTCAGGACTGAAGACCATAAAAGAAAAGACCAAAGTTGTTCAGCTTTTCCATAAAACCAATTACAAATTTCCGTTAATTAACCGACTTTGCTTTCCAATGGGATCAAAACCGCATTCTCCGACAAAGTTGCTCAGTTTATTAATCGAAAATTGCAATTGTCTGGTGTGTTTGTAAAACTCGTTAATTGGATTCACTTCTATGGCGTTGTAACTACATGTTAACGTTTATGAAAGTTTTCAGAACTGAAGACTACAACAAAAAAGAACGGTGAAATCGCCGCATCCAAGATGAAAACTTTCAAAACATAATTGCCGAAAAAGTGGCTCGGCTTTCTCGCTATTCAATTCATTGAATTTGTCACCTCAAAATAATTAGCCGACTTTGTTTTCCAATGGGATTTGAACCACATTCTCCGACAAAGTTGTTCAGCTTTTTCCTTAAAACCAATTACGAATTTCCGTTAATTAACCGACCTTGCCTTCCAATGGGATCAAAACCACATTCTCCGACAAAGTTACTCAGTTCATTAAATCGAAAATTAAAATTAGTTGTCTGGCGCGATTAAAAAAATTCTTAATTGGATTGCTAATTCACTTCTGTGTCGATGTAACTTCATTAGCATTTGTAGTTCTTTTAGAAGATGGCGGATTTTATACAAGTTCTCTGGAGCGATGACGGAAGATGTTGCTCGACCGAAGACCGCAGCAGAAAAGGACGAGGGAGTGGTCGAAGCCAGGACGATGACGTTCAGTGCCAAAGCGACAATTCATTGAACTTCTTTTGACCTTGATGAAAAGAAGTAAACAAACGCGCCAAAATAATTAGCCGACTTTGTTTTCCAATGGGATTTGA